TAAATCCTCTCTTTCTCATGATTTAGTAAAGTTTGAAATGTAAAAATATTCTTCTCAAATTTCCTTATACTCTTCTAGTTCCAAGCCATTAACAAATCTTAGAGGAGTTCAAAGGTTTTCAAGAGAGAGAGTTCTTCAAGGGTAATTTCTTAAACACTTCTCCATTATTTTCTAGCCAACTTTAAGCTTGAATTTATGGATGTAATTGATGGTTCTTGAGGAGAGGAGTTGTAATAAGGGTGTACGAGTTTTATGTTGGTTTTGTGTGTTTTGAGGTTAGTGTGATTAGTATTATGTGGTAAGCTTATGTTTGGTTTAAGTTGTTTATTTTGGGTTGGAGGAAAAATTTTCCAGTTACTTCGAACGTGAAAATGAGGACCCTAGAGTGAGATTTTTCAGTGTTTCTAAGTTTGAACTTATAGTTCTCGATGTTTTGAACGTTTTCTATGACTATGAGAAAACCCAACTTTAACTCTAAAAGCAAGTTTGAAGCCATTTTGTAAAAACGGAAAGACTGTCTAACACAATTTCGGGAAAAAGACTGCAGCCACTGTTTTCAGCCAAACGAGGCCTTTAGAGGCTGAATTTCAGTTTTCACTAAAAACAATAATTTTAGATCTCGACGAGGTGAAGAATTGTTGTGAGGAACAGATTTTCAAAATCCGATCCTAAGATATAGTAAAATGCAGATTTCAGAAACTGTACAGTTTTAACAAAACAAACTAACACAGTGTTGGTTTTTAACAAAAAGTTATCAAAGAACCCGAGATGTGATTTCAGTAAAATATTATGGTGTTAAACCTCATTTTAACAGACGTATTCGTAAAGAAAGTTTTCAAGAAAAATATTGTCTTTTAAAGAACTTAATGGTTTATCGAGCAAATCATCCCGACGGGCGCCAACGAGCCCAATACGATAGGTCCTTAGAATTTCGAAGATTGGATGTGGGTCCAACGCCCGCATTCATTCGAGAGACCCTGTTTGAGTTTAAATTTCAACGGCCTAAGAGTTACAATGCCATGAATAAGTTCTAGGCCGAATTGGGCCTTAATAACATAATAAGTCCCATGAGGAAAATTATGGAGAATAAGTTACTAGATTGGGTAATTGATTTTTTAACCTAGACATAAGTATGTTAAGGACAATTAAGGAAAATAAGATTTTGAGGATTTAATAAATTGATCCTCATAGTAAATTATCCTTCAATAAAGGAATGGAATACATGCCTTAAGTAAAGGGCTAGATTTCCTTCATAAGCTGCTAAAATAGAGTAGCACATGACAGATAATCTCACATTCTCAATGGGTGTTCATTTTCAGAAGTAAGCAAGTAAGAGAATAGGCTGTTTGGCGAAAAGTGGATTCCAGCTCTGTAAATCAGGTAAGTAGGAATCTCGCCTACAGAATGAATAGATTTTAAAGAAAAAGTTACACATGTTATATATGCATGTTTATGCTTTAAGTATTGTATGCGAGGCTATGTCATGCTGCATACACATAAGCAGTGCACATGAATTATATGTGTTTGAGTACATTCCATGTTATAGTATGCTATGCTATGTCTTATTGCATACACCTTAATAAGTCAAGAGAAACTTATAAGAATAATCTCAGTTGAGTGTCGTACCAGCCTCCGCAAGGGAGGTAACTCTGTGACAACCATCAATCCCTTGAGGCACAAGGCCAAGAAAGGGTAAGTTGTGCAGTCCCATACTCTGCAAGGGAGATAAAGGAACAAAAAAAAGGGTCCTCCGCAAGAGAGGCACTCAGTTCAATTTAAATCACGGTGTCGTTGGGGACCTTGCAAACTCTTACGTCCCGATGATTGCGCGCAAGAGGTACGGGCACTCGGGCCCATCAGTAAGAAAGATAAGATAAGATAATAAGACTATGATAAGACACCATAATTAAGCATAATCAGCCCATGCATATTTATTCATGTAAACTTACAGTTATTTTATGAAAGATAGTTCTACTTGCTGAGTGAAAGCTCAATCAGATATGTTCATGTTGTAGGCAAGAAACCTATCAGTAATTCTTGAAAGGCAGTGGCGAACGGCGGGCGAATGGTGGAGATGGGAATGGATACCGCTCACAGTTAAATCTTCCGTAGTAAGTTTAAGTAAAATCATGTATAAGCATATATGATTCAAAGGTTTCAAGCAAGTATGTTTAAAAAGTATATGTACATATGTATGTTAAGAGAGCTGAGGTTGTTGCTAACAACCCTAGTCTTGAGTATTTAAGTTTTAGAACGTTGCAACAGTGTATGCAACAAATAAATGAACTTTAAATACGATGGTTTAAATGATTGATTTTGAAAGGACTTTAAGAAGTACATGAATTTAAGATTTCTCATGAAATTCGTTTTAAAGTCAAATTAGATGGCCCGATTGTATTGGCTAGTTTTCGAAAGGCTTTTAAAGAGTATCTGAAACAAGAGTTCAAATGCCACTCGGTTCGAAAGATATTTTTAGAAGGTTTTATCTTAGTTGAAATTAAGAAAAGCTTTAAGAAACTTAGTGATTCATTTTTTGAAATTATTGTTACGATTTATGAAATTATTCCTTCTTATAAAAAAAAATGTTCTGCAAATTTTAAGAAATTCCAGTAAGTACAAGTTAAAATTCAGCTACAGTGGCGGCCTCCAAGTAGGGTCGTCACAAGGACTCCCTCCTAGACAATGACGCCGCTGTGACGAATCTCCATAGTGATTGTTTAGCGTGCACCACACGTCTTCTATTCATCTGACGAACTCCCTTCGACCGGCAGAGCTTCTTCCCGAAAGTAACAAATCCCTCTCCCGAAGGACGATCTCAATAACTCATCAAAACTCACAGACGTCTCTCTGAATATTTTCTCAGTAGTAAGCTTTCAAATTCATAGACTTTTCCTCTGGAGATATTCTATTAAATCCATGTAACATATGCTCTGAAACAAAGCTTTTTAAATAAAGTCAAGAGAATCTCATTTAAATCTACTCTTGATAAGTTCTCTATTATCTCTATGATTCTCTCTCCTAGATAGGCTCCAAAATTTCTTCACGTTATCTTCACAATCTCCAATTCGAATTATGCAGCAAACTTCCAAATTCGAATTAGTTATCCTCATTACAAGTGAACACTTGATCTCCACGTGTTCTTCATTAAACACGGAGAACTTCCTCTTATCCAAATCACACAAACACATCCAAATATCAAATAACCAAACCAATTATTCCACTTTTAAAACACAACATATATATATATATATAAAGCTCTTACTTTTGAACTTCAAATATCAAACAAATTGCACATTCATTTGCAAGACACGTAGCTTCATTGACTCTATCTTCCATATGATCTCTAATAACACTTTTCAATTTCAAATTCGGATTGTACATCAAATTCAACAAATCCAAATAAATGCCAACTTCAATTCTCACAAGTTGGATAAGCTGCAAATATCAAAACCATATCTCCTTATCTCTTTCTAGAATCTCATTTAAATTCAAATAACCAATGCATTATCTTCCTTTGACCAAGGCCTTATCCTTATCTCTCCAAATCTGATTCTGCCATATGAAATCTTTTTGAACCTATTTTTTGAATTTTTACAAGATTGCCAATAAATTACCAACTAATAAAAATACCTAACAAGTTGTAAAAGAAAATATGAGATATTTCCAGTTCCCCACTAACCATTCCTCTTGTATTTTCAGCCTCATTATTAATGTGGTAACACTTTCTATACTTTTCAAGGGGCTGAATAGCTCCTTATCATGGTTGATTGGCTGAAAAAATGTTAAAAGAAAACATGCTATACAAGGCCATAAAATAATCCATGTGCAATATAATTGATATAAATGTTCAAAATTCATTTTGACATCATTAATTAACTCAAAATTGTTCCAGAGAACATATTTTCTAATAGGTGGTCACATAAAGTTAAAACTAATTATTGAAACTCTCGTCTTGAATCAGATTACAGATAGCTATAATTAAGGTGTGGATATGGAGGAGTATCTATGGTAGGTTTAGGTGGTGGGAGGTTTTGTGTCTGAATGAACTAGCTATTACAAAAGAAACTATTGACATCAAAGAATTGATGTCTTTTTCATATATATATATATATATATATATACACATATATAAATCTTTTAAAGATGATATGGTTGGTATATACTACATGCTCAACTTAAACAGCATTTAGGACCATGAAAAGGCCTTATAAAGGTTTAGTGGTTGGTAGACATTACTTATTTCTCTAAAGTTTAGCCCACTTATTTAAAAAAATAAATAAAATAAAAGACAATGACCCTTTTACACAGTTATGGAAGACTTTTTTGTCTGATTAGGTCAATAAAATTTAGTTTAAAATATTTGCATTTTTGGTGCTCAGGATGAAGAATATCTGCAAACTTTGTATGTTCATTTGTTTTTCTTTAATAATTAGTTTCTTTTATCCTTTGCCAGGGACAATATGACCTAATAGCATAACATTTTTTTTTGGTTGAAGTGGATGGCTATATCATTGTATCAAATGAGAGCAGGATTGCTAAAACCTTCCACTAGCTGCTTATTTTAGGTATTCTATATTGCAAGGTAGGCAAAAAGAAAATCTGTCTTGAGTGCCCATTTGGATTATGGAAATCAATCTGTGTTGGTTCCAGAAACACAATGCTGAATATTAAATCCAAAGTGAGGCTGCCAAAGGCCCAAAAACATATAAAAGACTTGGCTGAAATTTAGTGTTCCATAAACTTGATCACTATTAAGATGACTGCATTAAACTCTATTATTATAATAAGCAGCCACTATTTTTGCCATTTGGTTGGTTACCACATAAAGCAACAAATAGAGAACAAGAATTAAAATTCATTTCAGTAATACCCTTTTCAGAGAATGTTATGCAGAAGGCAATAAAAAATAAAGCCTCTAGTCATACACAATAACATTGCAGTGAAAGGGTTGGTTAACCAATATACAAAGAAACAACTGTTACAAAGAAAAAGTATCCTCTAGTTATTAAGTTACCAAAACTGGTTTACCCACAAAAAAGAAAAAAAAAAAATCAATAAAACTCTTTCCACCACCATTTTAGGAGTGGAAATGGAATGCCCTTAAAATTTTTGATCAACTTCTTCAAGCAAGACTGCAGAAGGATCGAAGAGATATTCCTTCAACCGACCCATTTCGAGCGCAACATCTTGCATACTTGGCCTTGTTGAAGGATTGTACTGTGTGCACATAAGTCCTAGTTCAATCAACTCAATTATTGCATTGGCCCATATCCTGTTGTAATGCTTTGGCATTGCAGTTGGAGTGTATTTCTCCAATGCTTGTTCAACTATAGGCTGAAGCCTACTTGGGTACTGAGTTTTCACCCATTCATGCAGGCTTGAACCTTCAACAGGAAAGCCATCTGTGGGCCGCTTCCCGGTCACGATTTCGAGCAGAAGAACACCGAAACTGTAGACATCCCCATGAGTTGAAGCGCGTTTTCCCATTCCGTACTCTGCAGTTGATCAATTTAAAACAGTGAAACAGTTAGGAAGAAGATTGTGATTGTGATTCAGATAAAACAAGCCTTCAAATGATCTTATACTAATAAAGTAGGAATAATAGTGAAATGAGTTGGTGTTTGAAAATTATGAATACCATAAACTGCAAAGGGAAATAATATGCCTCGAATTATAAAAGAGACGCATAATTTCATAATATGAAAATGGAGGACATACATACCAGGAGCTATGTATCCAACAGACCCCCATAACAAGCCATCAGCTGAGCTGAAAGATGTCGAGTCATAAGTTGCAGCATTGCTCTCATCCCTTCCATTCAATAGCCTTGCAATTCCAAAATCAGTCACCAAAGCTGTCATGTCTTCATCAAGCAGAATATTGCTCGGTTTCAGATCACAGTGCACGACTCTAACCGGAGAATGGTGGTGCAAATAGGCCACTGCTTCCGCCACATCATTGCAGATGCTCACCAGCTGAACCAAGTTTAGTCCATTTCTCAATCCATGACTGGGGTATAGATGCCTCTCTAAGCTCCCATTTGACATTAATGGAAGAACAAGAGCTTTGAAATCTGGCCTGCTACAGATTGTGATGATCCTTATCAGATTTCTATGTCTAGTCCTCTTCAGGATTTGACACTCTCTTCTAAAGCTTCCTGAAACGATTCCAGCTTCCTTCAAATCCAACACCTTCACAGCAACTCTTGTGTTGTCTTGAAGAACACCCTTGTAGACATGCCCGAATCTGCCTGAACCAATCAGGCTTGAGGGACTGAACCCGCCAGTGGCATCGATAAGCTGCTGGTATGAGATTCTTGGGTACTTAAGCTCCTTTCTATCTCCTTCAGCTTCCTCCAAATCCCCTATCTTGAAGATTGCCAATTTACTTCTGTTTTTTGACCTGACTACTAGGGAGTAACAAAACATGCACAAAATGAGGATGGAAAATATTGGAAGGAGGATTGTTAGCATGAATATATGATGAGTGTGTTTCCCCTTGCAGCTTGGCATGCCTTTTATTGAGCCACAAAGGCCTTCATTTCCTTGGAAAGAGTCCATGCTTAGGGAAGAGAAGGACCCCTTGTTTGACACGTTCCCGGAGAACTTGTTGAAGGATAAGTTGAGTTGCTTAAGGGTTGCAGATGCCTGCAGAGATTGCGGTATTGGGCCTGTTAAGCGGTTTGAAGAGACATCGAATTGTCGAAGATAAGGCAACTGTCCTACGGAAAATGGAAGAGGGCCTTCCAAGACATTACCGGAGAGGTTAAGGTACTCGAGGGCAATGCAACTTCCGAGTTGTGGTGGGATGGTGCCAGAGACATTGTTGGAAGATAGGTCAATGGCAAGCACCATATCCATTTTACTCAGCTCAATTGGTAAAGGCCCATACAAGTGGTTACTGGACAAATTTAGGTACAACTTCAAGCTCCTCAGCCCTGCAACTTCACCAGGAATGACCCCGGAAAGTTGATTATGGGAGAGGTCTAGGATCTCCAAATTGATGCATTTTCCTAGGCTTGGTGGTATGGTTCCTGAAAGCTGATTATCATAGAGAAGGAGTCTTCTTAATTGGGAAAGATTGGAAAAACTATCTGGGATTGAACCAGAAAGCTTGTTTCTAGACAAATCAAGAAGACCCAGATGAGGAGTGTCACCAAAAGCTGATGGGATCTCCCCAGAAAGTGAGTTATTTGACAAATAAACTCTCTCTAGCTTTCCCATCTTGCATAACTCTGATGGGATTGTGCCATTCAAAAGGTTACTAGACAAGTTCAAGAGGGTGAGGTTGACAAGTCTAGAAATCTGAGGTGGAATTGAACCATAAATAAGATTCTCATCTAAATGAATCTGTACAAGATTGGTTTTAGAAAGATCACCAATGCTAGATGGTATAACCCCGCCAAGATTGTTTCCCGCCAATTCGAGTTCTTGAAAGTTAGATGAATTAACTAAAGAAGTGAAAAAGCGTTCTAAGTTGGTGTTACCATCATGGCTGACAAAGTCATTGTATGACAAGTAGAGGAACTGCAACTGAGGCATTTTGCGCACAATCTCCGATGGCAACTCCCCATTAAGCATGTTCGACTCCAAGTCAAGCCATTCGAGCTTTGAGGAGTTCGCGAGAGCGGGAGGAATCTGACCCTTGAGTTTGTTGGACCAAAGTAGAAGAAACCTCAATTCTTTGAGCTCACATTCATTCTTCAAAGGAATTTCGCCGCTTAGAGAATTGTTGGAAAGGTCTATGTACTGCAATGAATTGGAAGACTCATTGCAGAAGAGCGAGATAGGAAGTCGACCCTTGAGATGATTGGTTCCCAAATCAAGATAGACCAACTTTTGCAGAAATCCCAACTCAAAAGGAATGTTCCCCTCAAGAAGATTGGATGATAAGCTTAGCTGTCCAAGCTCCGAAAGCAATCCTAACTCTTTAGGAATTTGACCTTCAAAGAAGTTTCTTGACAAGTCAAGAATGTTCAAGGAAGAAAGATTGCCAAGAGAAGGGGAAATGGTTCCCCTAAGTGACCTTCCACTAAGATCAAGCTCAACAACTTGGTCTTTATCCTCGTTGCATCGAACTCCGGACCAATTGCATACATGAACATCCAAAGAATTATAATTCCAAACCTCAAGAGCATGTTGAGGGTCAGAAACAATCCCCGACATGAATGAAACCAATGCTGCTCTGTCTCTCATGATCATTCCACCACCATGGCTTGAAACCACATGAGCTAGGCAAAGGAAGAAAGGCAAAAAGGTACTAAACATGGGAATTCTACTAAAACTCATTTCCACTGATTAGCTGCCAATCTTCTTCCACCAAAAAAACTCGGAAGAAGATTGATGATGATGATCAAAGCAAAGTAAGAAGAAGCAAAAGTACACCAAAGGGTGCTCAAGAAAGTGGAATATGACACAAAAGAAATGCACCAACATGGGAGTTAATAGGAAGAAGATGATACATACATACATATATATATATATATACATATATACACACACACACACACATATTCATATATATATATATATATCATACAAAAAGATTATGAGATGTGTCCTATGCTAAGAAGCAAATCAGAATTGATATCAATCCTTAAGGTTGTTTGTTTTATTGAAATAAAATAAATAAATAAACTTTTGTACCTAACTGCCGTTGAAGCACAGGAAATACGTTTGGCGCCTGTGATCTCTGACTTTGAATATCTACAAATAGTTGCCATACACGTGCCAAATGTCACAGAAAACAGGCAAAAGGGTTTGCAAAGGCAAAGCCGTGTGTAGCGATGGTGGTAGCCATGTTAGCACCTGCTAGGCCTAATTAATTATTTTCTTGTCATTTTTAATTTGCCCGTTTACGATTCCACCACAGAGAGTTGTTAGTTATCAAAACTAAACAAAAAGGCCATGTAAGTGTAATCTAATAATGATGTACGTACAATTTTAAGAAAATTGTAAATTCAACTCTTCTGTTAAAATGACTAATGATTTATTTATTTATTATTTTTTAGTTTTTCTCCACTCTAACCATTAGTTAAATGGTTAGTTATTTTGAAGAATGTTGGGGCATTCCTCCAATCCAATCCAACCTATTTTAGTCATATAACATTCAATCTAATTAAAAGTCAGCTTTTAGAAATTCCATCCAATTCAATTCAATTACTAGTGTATCATTCAATTTAATCCAATTCGATTGAAGTTGATTTAGATTGGATTGGATCAATCGATTTTGGACTTGAGCTTTTTTAAAAAAAAAGACAACATTCATAAAAAAAAGCATATAAACTCCAAATTACAAACATAAAAGTTGATTAAACATCCAACAAACAACTATAATGAAACGGACATTACATTCCAAACTATAAAGAAACAACATAAAGACAAAACATAGTCTAATAATCCAAATATGCACCTCTACTACTCTTTGATGATGATCCATAGTAGAAAGAAAAGATAATCCATTTTTTACCTTTTTATATAATATATAAGGATTGGATTAGTTTTGCTTGGGTATTTTAAAAGTAAAATTAACATACAATACACTCTAAGTCGGTTTTAAAGAAATCACATCCAATCCAATTCAATTGAGGTTGGTTATCCATTAAAAATAGATTGGATTGGATTGGATTAGATCGGTCAGTTTGATCAGTTGATTGGATCCTATGAGCACTCCTAGGAGAATGCTGTAACACCCTTTTTTTTTTTAAAAAACTGACAAAATTCTTAGAAATAGATGTTAGGAATTAACTTGAATAATGTTACGGTGTTATATATAGTTAATTCTAACATCACGTTGAGTTATTTGTTACAGGTAAACGCGACGAGGACTTGAGATGCCGAGAACAAGTTCATGCCATTTTATAGAATTTTTTTTTGATGATTTGATAAATGAATATATGTTCATGATATGATGTACTTCATGTTATAATGCATGGAATTAAGTGTCTTAGGAAAATTCTAAGTTTTTTTTTTATTTTTTATTTTTGTAGAGAGAAGAACCATTTTCATGATATTAATTTTCAGCTCTATTTTAGGCCTTTAAAATTCTAAAATTATTCCTTTAGTTTATACAAAGCTGTAGTAACTTTTATAAGCTTTCCAACGCCTTCTCATTAGCACAAATCAGAGTCCGGAGTAAGAAGATGTGGCCAGTATACCATCTGGATACCCAATAGTCTCTGACCAGGTTACTGCACGCAAATGAGAATGGAAACTCTAGAAGTTGACCTAACTCTTTTATTTGTCTTCTGCACGATTTTACACCATAATGACAACCAGTCCCCCAGCTGTTAACAGATTATTTACTCATAGAATTGATCCCCAATAAATGCCAAATTAATCCCTTTTAATTTTATATGATTTATGAGTCAATAAGTATTTTCTACCCTCAGGTATGTGTTGCTACCGTGATATTTCGTGTTTTTGTCGTTGATGGAGAGAGGTGTTCAAATATTTTCATAGTTTTGTTTAAGATGATTGTGACGTTATTGTTAAGGAAAATGTTATCAGATTGTTATAGTTTTGGATGCTAAGTTTTTTTTTTTTTTTCAAAATTTATTTATTATTATTTCATCATGATTATAATTTTGATTGATGGTGGCATGTTTAGAATTTCTTTTACGCCTATGTGATTTATTAATCCTCTATTTTTTTTTAATTTTATTTACTGTTGATAATTTTAGAAACATGTTAGGTTGTTTCCATGGTGTATTTGAGTTATATATGATTTCTAATTAGGTGTTTGTGAGGTTTTTTTTTTTTTTTTTGTTTTTTTATATATATATGACCTATGTTTTAATAATTTTTGGATATGATTATATTGAAGCATGTTAGAGTTGTGGTTAATGTAATAGGCTGATAGACATGAATTTTTGATGAGTTTTGGATGATTTAAAGGGAATTTTGTCGGCTAATTTTGGATTATAGAGTGCTGGAATTTTTACAGATTTTATGACCAGAATTTAGAATAGTGTTTGAGGGATCAAATAGACTCCGTTTTTAACAAATAAGGTGTCGTTAGAAATCTCTAGTTGGCTACCTTAATTTGAAATTAGTTTTAGGTCATTTAGAGTTTTGTGTGAATTGTTATGAGTTTTTATAAGGGTAAAGGTCAGCCTGCCAGTTTTTGTTAAATTTTGTAATTTTGTGTAATTGATTGGTTTTTATGTCTTGATGTTAATGAATGATGAGAATGGTCTATTAGACGCTCTCTTAACGTGGTCAATGTGTTTGATGAGTTGTTAAGTCTGTTTAGTAATTTTATTTATTATTTAAAAAGGTCAAGTAAGACGCTTATGTAAGTACACTTTAACCTACAACATGAATTGAATAATTGAAAAGTATATGATTTCAATGTTTATGATGATTTTATGACGCTTTTAATATTTCTCTTATGATGACGTTTTGAAGAAAATGTGTATATGTATTTTTATATTTTAAATGACGTTTTACTTCTTGATGGTGACCGGTGAGTGGTCTTTTATTCGGTGAGCGGATTTATTGTCACGGTTGGTGTGAAATTTGCTACCCCATGCTTTTTGTGGCTAGACGCTATGATGGTACAACGTCAGGCCCAATATATGATGGATTTTAAAGTTAAAATACGTTCAAAAATAATTGTTCTCATGATTACGTTTATTGTTGATGAATAAAAATGTTCATTCGTTTGTGAGATTTAAGTATCTTACTAAGCCCTTGCTTATATACGTTATTTCATGTTGCAGGCGAACTAAAGGGTAAGTTGTAGGCATGGATAATCTTGGAGCGGATGTGAGCTATGCGTGATGGGAAAACATGAGAAACAATCATGGAATGAAAGTGCTTATTTTAAATAAAGTTTTTAATTTTTTAATTTTTATTATTTTTGGAACTTTGGTTTATGGTGGTTTTGATTTGAAGAATACTTTGATTTTTTTTAAGTCATTCAAAGTAAAGTGTTTCAAGCTTAATTATTTTTCGCATTCTTTAAGAGGTAAATGTTTAAAAGTTAAGATAACTGTGACGGCCCGTGAGGGGTCGTTACAAATGCATTTCACACTGGCCAAATATAGATACAAGAGGCTAGCCATGTCATTTTTCTATTATTTTATTCTTTCAAACAGTAATAAATACAAGGGTTCTTTTTAAATTCAAGAAATTTATTTATATTTGAATTCAATAAAATATTAAAATATTTTATGTTTAGCTAAAATAGGGCTATTTTAACTAAAATTTAACTATCATTTAGGTAGTTCTTTTGGAGATGCTCTAATGAGGCATATAAAGTATCTAAGTGATCTTCGAGACAAAAAGTAAAAAGGAAAAATTAAAACACAAAAATTTATAACTATATTATGTTTTTATGAAATGATTCACATTCAAAAACACGTATTACTGATAATTGTTCCTTATTTGTCCATTTAGTTCATGAGTTTGAGTAGAAAATTTTGATAAAAATTTGAATTTTATAAGAAAAATTGTAAAAAGCTGTATTACGGTTCAAATCTATAAACGAAATGACACATAAGAAAAATTCAATATTAAAATGCATATATTTTATGTTCGGGGTACTTATGTTTTTTCCTTGCCTTATTTTGATAAGTAGGTTCGTGGAGTTGGTTAGTTTTGAATTTCTAAGCGCCCATTTGTTTTATGCATTTAAATTTATAGTTTTGATTCTGCTACAGTGTTTTCTTCTTATAAAAAATTTAAATTTCAAATGCCAAAATAAAAAATCACTAATTTAAACGCATGAACCAAACGGACCCTAAGTTAATTACGTTATTCTACCTTATAGTTTTGTTTTGTTTTTTTTTTTTTTTTTTTTTCTATTCATCCTTCTATTTGTAGAAATTACTTTTGAATTAAGAATTATTTTGATTTCGCCTCTTGCCTCTGTGAATGGAGAAAGAAAAACCATAAATAAATTAAGAAAATATTTTAAACGTCTAACAACATAAAAAAAAACGTAACATTTTAATTTTATGCTTTTTACATGTTTTATTTTAGTTTCTTTTTTTTAGATGTTTAATTTTTTTTCAATTAATTTTCCTCGATAAAAAATATTTTTCAGGAATAAATGTTGTGTAAAGTGAGGATAGCTTTAATATTCCCCTTGTTTTTTCGTCCTTAAAGTGCGCAATGAATAAAGAATTAGAACTAGCTTTTGAAATTCAAAAGATACCATTATGATTTCTAAAAATGGGATATATAATTGCAAAAAAGAATTAAAACTAAAACGTATATTTATACAATCACCCATTATTAATGTTTTTCCATATTTGAGGAATATTGTACAACATTGTTGTTCTTTTTTGAAATATAAAATATTTTATTTGATCTCAGTCTGACCCTCATAAGCTTTTATTGGTGAGCCTTCTCTACAATGAATTACCCCAT